ACATCTTCCTGACCATGGTATACAAACAGTTATTCACTATTTGGTAGAGCAAGGTCAACTGTCAAATTTGACACATTTTTTGATGATCTCACTGGGTAGCGTGCATCGTCTCTCTTTGGATCTCAATATTTTCCCGCTAGATGGCCAAGACCTAGTGTTTTGGCAGTAGTTTGACACGCAAATATATGACGTCACCATTTCAACCATCAAGGCATCAACGAACGCATGAAAGTGATGGAACTAAAACAAAGCTTAGTATAAAGGAAAAACTAAAGAGGTGACGGAATTACCCACGATGTCGGAATATACCACGTGGCGCGTTTACCCTAAATGCGATCAGTACACAAAATTCTTCTTTATAATTAAAATTCAGTTTAAGCAAATGAAAAATTAAAAACATAAAAATTTAATTAAATTTAATCAAGTTGCCAAAATAAATAAATATATATATTGATACTTCCACCTTTTGAAGAACATGCAGAAAGAGCGTCAATTCCATTGTCCGAGTCAAAACCTTTATTTAAATGCTCATATTTCAATTTGTGGACTTTGCAGCTGGTGATGCTATAGATAGAACGATGGTCAGATAATTAGGGATTGACCGAGGCATTATAAGGATTCCTCAAAAACAAACAGGAAGCCTGGGTGAGGCTTTTTGTGACACGATTTCAAGTGATCATATATTATATGGTAACTTACCTGTGAAAGGGTTATGTATACTTGTATTTGCTGATTTTATGTAGTAAATAAATTAATAGTTGATTAAGTTACAGGGTTGGCAATGATTAAATCAAAATGATTAAATCATGTGATTAAATCACGTGATTTTTTATAAAAAAAATCATGATTTTTTTTATTTTTTTTTATTTTTTTATATATTTGAATATATTGAGTGGCAGTCTTTAATTTATTATGAGGTATTGTTATTCATGGTTTAGTATAAATGTACTATGAATGACAAATTGGTATATAAACTTGTTGCCTTTAGTGTATATTAGGTTCCAATAAATTGAATGATTTTGGGACAGAGGAATCAAGTGTTGCAATACATTGTACAAAGCTAGCAGCTTAGCTAATTCTTCTAAGGCTATAAGTAGTCTTTAACTATTTGACTATTTGTTATATATTGATTACAATATGCAATTTAAATGTGTTTGCTAGCTTATACAGGGTGGGGCAGAACTGATTAAACAGTTTTTAGGCAAAACAAAAGAGTAAGGGAGGTACATAAAGAAGAAAGTTTATTTTCCTCAAGATTAGCATAACATACCATTTAAAATACTTATGTTTTGAAAACAATATCAGGAAGATGGTGTTTGTTAGCTGCATCACACTGTTAGAGTCGTTCTTGGAAATTTCCTACAGCACGTTCACACATATGGCGAGGTATGGCCATAACCTCTGCTGCAATAATCTGTCCCGTTAGCTGTGGTAGGGTGTGAGGGCGACTTCTCTTTTAGATGTCCCCAAAGAAAGAAATCGCAAATTCTCAAATCAGGTAACCTCGTAGGCCACTGTAAATCACCCCTCAGAGACACCAGACCTCTGGGAAACATGCATTTCAAAACATTGAGTGACATTCGGGCTTTGTGAGCTGTAGCCCCATCCTGCTGGAACCACACGTCTCCCAATGCTTCATTTTCAACAATGTTTTCCATCCTGGGCTGCAAGAAATTTTGCAATATTGCAGCATAGCAATCGGAATTCATTGTCACGGTTATTCCCTCCTCTGAGAATGACTCCAACAGTGTGTTTCAGCTAATGGCCCCATCTTCCAGAAATTGTTTTCAAAACATAAGTATTCTAAATGGTATGTTATGCTAACCTCTAGGAAAATGAACTTTCTTTATTTACCTCCATTACTCTTTTATTTTGCCTCAAAACTGCTCAATCTGTTCTGCCCCACCCTGTATATTGAGAGGTTGAGATTGTATTGACCTTTTAGGCAGTAAGAAAGATTTTCTACCCTAATACAAGTATTCTAATTAAAATATTTAATTTCAATCTTTAAATATGTGAATTTAAAACTAAAAACAAAACAATAACAAGTATAAGACTATATATAAAATAATTGAATGCAGTGAATGGATATAAAATATTTGAATTGTGCACATGTTTATTTCAAACAGTGTTAGCTTTTCTCATAGCTTAAGTCTTGTCTCAAGTCGTTTGAGGTTTGTTTAGATCTATTGATAGTGCTGTGCACTGTAGGTACTATCAGCTACCTATCTGTTATGTGATTCTTCAATGTTTAGGAGATCTGCATTACTGAAGTGTTTTTGTATAATAAAGCCAGTTAAATGGTCAATATTTAGCTTGTTACCTTGCTCCATACATACTTTACAAAGCTAATGAATAGACTTATCAATAATTGTTTACCCAAAAATCCCTAAGTGGCCATTATTGAAGGCAATAGGTGCCCTTTTTAGCCATCTTTTATGATCCATATTCTGTTATTGTTAGTAGGCAAAATGCAACATAAAAAATAACCTTTCAAAAAGACAAAAAAGTTGAAAAAATCAAAAAGATCAAATAAATAAAAAAAATCATGAAAAAATCAAAAAATCTTTGATTTTTGATTTTTTTGATTTTTTTTTTTTAAATCAAAAAAATCACCAACCCTGTTAAGTTAAGAGACTGTTTTAGACACATAAAAACTAATTCCGATACAGCTAGGAATTAGACACACAGCTTGTTCAGAGCTGTGTCGTATTCTGATACAGCTCACACAGGGCATTGAAATTCCAACCCTGGGCCCAGGGTGCAGAGGGTGGATGCAGCGTCGCCAATATATGGGTTTTAAGCCCTAAGCATTGCCGGGTAATTTTAAGATGCGTCACTGGGTAATTTTAAATGAAAAGCCATTTATGCTGAGTAATGAAAAACTATTTACAAGCCACAAACTTATTTACAAGGTTGCATGCACATTTTACCCCAAATAACTGATTTTACCCTAAAAACAGTTCGATTGTACAGCAAGTGTCAACTGAACATGTGATAATGCAGTCTGACTGCTCTAATGTGACCGCAACTACCGTCAACCGGGGCTACTTGGGACAGGCGGGGCTACTCGGGACAGGCCTATGACACGGCGTAAAACTGTTGTAGTAGCGAAACTAATTGGAATATCGCAAAACTAAAAATAGTGGCGTAAATGTAACTATTTTTCCTATCTAAGAGCCTTCCTGTAAGCTTACAGATACAAAAAAAATGTTATAAGGCTGCTGATATGAAGCTTGCAATAGACAAGGTTGTTATAAATGCTCAATGGCATGTTCATGGATACGGTAATATCACATCAATAATACGATAATGTCACATCAATAATACGGTAATTAATGTATATGGCAATATCATATCAATAAAGGAAAAACGAGTAAAAATCACAGAAAATGTCATTTTTTCTACCTCTACATCATCTGCAATGAAAGAGGAGGACTTCAGAGTACTGTTAGTAATGGATGAGTACGCTCTGCATGCTTCAAATGTTTTGAAATGAAGTTTTATTCCCGTTGTCCCGAGTAGCCCCAACCGACAGGGCTACTCGGGACAATCTCTATTTTGCGTCTGGCACCTTACGAATAGCATATGGACTTTTTTTGACAATGCCATTCGATAGCCCTGCCAATCAGCTATAAAATGAGACTAAACTTGTTTATGAAATGTTTCATCGTAAGAAGTTATTAACTGTTATTTAAAACTAATCGTTCAAATCTGTCCCGAGTAGCCCAGGTTGACGGTACGTAATCATAAACTTGATGTTTACATTTTTTGGCGGGAACTCATCGCAACTGATTTCCAGACAAGCTTCACTGCATCCTGATCCATCCAACATACCAGAAACCTTACTTTTTTTAAATAGTTGGCCGAAGACTGACAAATATATTAAATGCAAGAATTTCAATCTAAATGTGTTGGCAAGATCTTCTGTAGGCATAAATTTTGCTACTGAAGCGTCGCCAAAGATCTTGCAATATTCATCAACTCTCTGCACAGTGGCACTGGGCGTCAGAATTACGATTTTGAAGCGCTGTCAGAATTAGTCTCACAATATGCCAAATTTAGTCACACAGCGTCGCAATTTAGCAATTTTGTAGATTTGAATTCTAAAGGCTTTTAAGTAAATATGGCAACAGTTTGTGACGTTTCATCATTGCTGGCGCATAGTGTGGTGTTTTGAGAGTGATGTAAATCAATCAGAACTCGAGTTGCGTGTACGGTGATCTTTTTATAGCCATTCATTGCTTGCTACATCCTTGAAGTGTTGGAATATGGTGTGTTTACCCTAGTAAATGTACTATTTTTTTAACTTACTTTATGCTAAATAGATAGTACAAATGTTGAACTTGATGCCACTATTCTTAATTTTGCAATATTTTGATTAGTTTAGCTGCTACAACATTTCTATGAAATGTGGGATGACTGCCCTGGTTTAACCTGCCCGTCCCTTATTAGCCCATTTGATGGTTTGTAGTATTCCACCATGAAAATGAAATCTCAAATCCTTGTACAAGATGTACCGTAGGTACTGTAGATATCCTCTCAACAAACCTCTCATTATCTATACTAGGTACTAGGCTTCAAACACACCATTCGTCATTTCTATTGTCTACTATGAACAAATTATTTATCAATTGTGAGTAAAGAGCTGGTGTTGTTCTTACCAACACATTCAAATTGTCACTCAAGTTATTACATTTTCAGGCATGTTCTTATATTTCTTGATGGAATTTTTTTTTACCCGCTCATGACTAAACTAATTTGTTTGTAATTAATTTTTACATGCATTATCACAATGTTGTTTGGTCACCATTAATTAAAGTACTTCTTCAAAACTTGAGAAGAAATCTGTATTGCCCTTTTTTGCGCATTTTCTCATTTATGGAAAAAAAGGCGCTATTGTGCATGTCATGTCCGTCCATCCATGACCACATTTTTGTTGTTAAGAAAATGCGCTTTCTGTCACTCACTGCAGGGAGTACTGAGTTACATTTTTTTTTCTTGTTGACATTTTTCAATAATCTAGTTAATAACAAAATTTGGATACGGTACTTTACATATATATAGCTGAAATGTATAGCACTGGAGGCTTCAGCAATACTCATGCTGAATACATATCTGAATGTGGATCCATTGCATCGGTAGCTTCCCTCTCATCAGATGGAGTAATTATGAAGAAGAAATTACCAACTCACAGGTGAGATGCTAATGAATTTCATGCAGTTTCATGTACTTTTTGGGTATATGTGCATTTTAAATTTTCTGATTATTTGAACAAAAAAATCTAAAGAAGACTTCTATTTACAATATTGAAGAACTTGTGTGTGTGGTATTGCAAAATATTATCTTCATCTGAAAATATTTTAGAAAGACTTGCTTTAACTCTGTTAATTTAATTTTGAAATATGTTTACATAGCATTTCCATAGGTTTTGTTTATGTATTTCAATATGTAAATTTTGAGTAAATTGTCATAAGTGATATGAAGAGCAACTAATGTGAAATTGATCATGAGTTTGTGTCCCAATATTAAGTTTTTCCACAGAGAGAGCCACAATGAAGAGGACCTTGACTGCGCCAAGAACAGGAGTTCCACTGAATGGAATAAAAGGTTAGTTTTGCTGTAACTCTTATAGTAGATACAGCAGTGTAGCCTTAAGCCTCGTCTTCCATAGCCTTTATTTTTTGAGCATATGTTGCACGTTTCAATGTAAAATACCAATTTATTGATATTAATTATTATTTTAAATTTTAAAATTCATATCTTTGAATGGTGGTGTGTCTCATAAAACCTAGACTCTATAAAATTTTTTAATATATTGCCTATACAAAAAAAACAATCCTGCTCTTCAGTAGGTACTCAATTGAAAAAGTCTATTTTGATTTTTGAGTGTCTGCAATCTTCCTTCAATTCCACAGCATTATCCTCAGCTAAGAAAAAAATCTGTAAAAAATATTAAAATAACCATCAAAACATCTTGGATAAATTGAATTAAACTACACCGTAGTAGGTACATACTTTTTATGGATCACTTGTTTATTCATTTTTAATTACTGAATTGAAAATTCTTTTCATCCTCTTTCTCTCATCACTATCTTTGAAGTAGGTACTGATTCATTCACAGCTGACTTAAAAGTAAAGAGAATGATCAAGCCTAATTTCTGTCTATTTGCTTATCTCTTTTCATATCATTATTAGTGAAGCATTTTTCTTATCTTATAAATATACCTTCCACTACAGGCAGAACCACAGTGAGATTGAAAAGCGCCGAAGAGACAAAATGAACACCTACATCACTGAACTGTCACGAATGATTCCTCAGTGCCGCAGTCGCAAGCTTGACAAACTGAGTGTGTTGAGGATGGCAGTACAACACATCAAAATGCTACGGGGGTCTCTGAACTCTTACACAGAGGGGCAGTACAAGCCAAATTTTGTTTCTGATGAACAAGTGCAAGTACTGCTGCAGCATGAGGTATGTGCAGTCTTTTGGCTCATCTGATTTCCTTGAACATGTAATTTTTTTTTGTCATGAATAGATTCATTTGCTGCTGCAAAGTTTATGTTGAAACAAATATGTCACAAAATTCTCATTTAGAAATTTTGTAAATATTCTAGAATGAATTCAATTTCTCTGAACTTAAGAAACAATTCTATTATTCTGAAATGTGAAGAAATGTTGACAATGCACTTATTTTCACAGTGTACAGATGGCTTCCTCTTCGTTGTAGGATGTGACCGGGGCAAGATCCTGTTTGTGTCTGAGTCAGTCTCCAACATTCTGCACTACTCACAGGTGACAGGATTGTTACAATTTTGTTTTATCCTTACAGGTACATTATCAATTGGAAATGGGCATTAACATTTGTTCCTTTGACTGCATTGTTTCCATAGGGGATGTCATATTCATGGCCTACATCAAATTTACGGTTATTTACCTGTCGACATCCTGACTTTGTTAATGAACATGCCTGTTTCTATGCAGACAATGGAATAACCACAGTTTATATCTACTACTATGACATTGCAGTGTGAGTTGCTTGGGTCGAGTTGGTTTGACATTCTACATCCCAAGGACCTGAGCAAAGTAAAGGAACAACTTTCGTGCGGGGATATAAGCCGTCGGGAGCGACTTGTTGATGCAAAAAGTGAGTTTCTCTTTTGCAGTCTGTTGCATCCAATATTGGGAAAAAGTCTGTTGCATCCAATATTGGGTTGTCTCAAACCTGAGGAATGAAATTGCTTGTTTCCTGTTGCATTAACTGACATTGGAAACTACATTTTTAGTTCTTAATATTGTTATAATTATTTCCAATGACCTAACCTAATAGAATAAAACGGACATGTTGATATTATTTGGAACAAATGAGTTTGCTGACAAAATAAAAATCAAAGCATGATTTATAGGCTTTCGCTGGGTATATTGGCATCCCGGTATACATCTATGTTCATGTAGTGAAGAAATTGAAACAATTGAAAAGCCTATGTTTCTGGTTTCTTATTAGCACATAACTTATACCTACTATACTAAAACTGGTTCACGAAAATAAAACTTTTGTGTTAATTTTACGTAGCAACCCTGAACTAATGAAGAATTCAACTGTTTTTGGAAGGAAGTTAATGTAGTTCTTCTCTTATCTCATAAGGTTTACCTACAGCTGGAGGTCAAAATTTATCACAACAATAATTACAATATGCTTGTCATGACAATTGAACTCTAGGCTAGAGTAGCCACTACTGAATGAACTATGTTGGCAGCGTCCGTTGAGCATCAAATCCATTTCAAGAAGACTTTATTTAATATCTTCTTTTCGGAACACACTGATTTATGGTAGTACATTGAGAGGGTTAGAATGAAACTGTGCTTACATTTCAAATTATACTGCTGAAGCAAGTTTGCACAATGTGATCTAATTTACTATCAATGAACATGAACATTCAACAATAAAAAATCTTGAAGTATATCTATTTGAAATTCACTCGAACTTCTTACCCAATTTGACCAGAAGACGTAAATTGTAGTGCAATCATATACTAATTTTTTTTAAGCGAGATACTACTAAGTTTTTGCCATCTTAATAACGAGAGCATAATAAATTGTTTATTATTTTACAACTGTTTTTAGTTTTAACAGACATTCTACCTTGCAGCTCTTCTGCCCGTGCACCATTCACCTAACAGCAGCAATAGCAGCACCTGCGGAAACTATAACTCCTTCCCGCCGGACCTTACACGTCTTTGTCCAGGCTCTCGTCGCGCATTCTACGCCAGAATTAGACGGCCCAACTCCATGCAGACAACCACGGACGATGCTGAGGACTCCACAGCAATGATGGGCAACAAACGTTACTTGAGCATCCACTTCACTGGATACCTCAAGAGCTGGCACGGTGCGATACGCTCACCGTCTGGACATGAGGATCATGACTCGGGCGACGCGGCATGTCTTGTGGCCATAGGACGTCTACATCGAACTCTCACTTCTGCTACATTGCCTCTTCAGTTTGTAGCTAAACTTTCAGCAGAGGCAAAGTTCAACTACGTAGACCAGAGAATGAGTGTAGTACTGGGTTGGCTGCCGCAGGAAGTTCTGGGCGCCAGCGTGTTTGAGTTGAGTGATCCAAATGATCACTGCAGGATCGCCTCAGCTCACCGCGCTCTCATCTCTAAATGCGCTCAGGAGCAATGCTTGCAGCATCGCTGCAAACATAAAGATGGCCGCTATATTCGACTGTCTTCCTGTTGGAAGCTCTTCACAAACCCTTGGACTAATGAGCTTGAGTACATAGTTACCACAAACTCCGTTCTACCTGACACTATAGGGGCTGATGAATCCCCACAACTCAACAGCTGCTTCCAAGACCCGGAGGCTCCAGAGTGTCCAGTGTCACCATCACATCCCAGCGGGCCTTCTGCTGGAGCCCCTCTTCCAGATGTTGCTCCTGCCGTGCCTGAGGCGCCTTCAAGTCGCCTCGGTAGCGACGTCTCCAAGAGTCAATCACTCGGCGCCACTCCTGGACTGCCGACCACCACATATTCCATAGCCACTCCTGTGAGCAGCTTTAATCTAAACTCACGTTGGGTATTAAAATACATGATTCCCTCTCGAGCAAACACTTTTGGCCTTTAAAAGATGGACTACGGTAGGTAGTAATTTTGTTAAGGTTTCGTATATTTTTAACTATGTAGGCATATATTTCTATGTCTCAGAAATGTCTCTGAATAAACAAACACGTCTCAGCCTTATTACGAAAATGTGCATGATTCATGCAATGATTGCATTTTGCAAACCATTCTTATATTAATATTACAAAATCTATGGTTCTAAAACATGCTGAATCATTCATTTAAAAACTTGAAACATAAGAATGGTGTGTCTCATTTGCTCCGTCCTTCCCACGTATGATACGTATCAGTGAATTGCATGTAAAATTATGCATGTGAATTTATTATTATTTTATTTACATTGAATGATGTTTCTGTTAAATTTTTAAATGATATTTTATTTAAAATCCTGAAACTATTAACCATGTGTTTGTTCTGATGACGACTGGCTTGAGCAGGCGACTAAGACTACTACAGGCGAGGACTGTGGTGGCCAAGGAGAGAACGCGGGCCAAGAGCAGCAGGCGGGGGAGACTGGCAGCACGGACAGCTGTGCCGTGCAGCTGCATCTCGACGCGCCTGCCCGGCTGCCTTTCCATCATCACTACAACACCCGCAGTAAGAAACTGATTATCTCGTTTATTATTGAAAGCCAATGATGTAAGTCATCATAGGAGGCCTCTCAGCAAGTCTAGTGACGTGCTGATGATTTTTAGTTTATATGGGTTACCATTCTGAGGCCTCGAATAAAAAGAGACGCACATTAGAGCTCGGTGTAAATTCAATCTTTGTTCTCCTAATTAAGACTTCGATTTTCAGTCTGTATCCGCAATAATTTGAATGATGAATTTGTATAACTTCATTTCAAAATTTCAAATTCAAATGTTGCAAAACTCTTTCCCTACTTGATAATGAGTGTAATTGCATTCGAAACGTCGTAATTTATAGAAAAATGTCCCTTAGAAACCTGAAATTTGAATTTTCAAGTCCCACCAAATGCCTAATTCGCCGAACAGAAAGAAACAATAAGAAAATTGTCAATAAGAAATACTCTCTGGTCGTCAATGAAACCTGCGTTAAAGAACAAATTCTGCCGAACTGCATCAATAGCTGAAAGTATAAAATATTTTTTTCTTTTTATGACCTCTGCTAAGATTCTACGAGGCCTTCCGTTTGAAAATGGGGAAAATTCCTTCATTTTTTCTCTGTGCAAAGCAAGGTAGAAATGTGAAATTACATTTCAACAAAAATAATGAGGATTTTACCTGAAAAAAATTACCTTTTATGTAAAATAGTAATGTAAAGTCACCAAATCCAATTTTCTGGCCATTACCTATACTCGTACCTTAGAGCTACCGTTATGTTATTAATGATGAATTTATGGAGCTGTAGCTGGAGAAGTCCAACCGTGCATGACTCACAGTGATACAACAGATGTAAGTTCATAGTTTGCTACTGCTACTAGTCAGCGTGTATGTGCTTGTCATTGTCGTCATTGTCTTTATTTATTTCTGAATTTCTGTGCCCTATCACTTCTATAAAACTTTGAAGTCCTAACATATTTCATGTTTTGATACTTTTATTGGCATATTTTCCATGTACTTAGAAGGAAATGTTTAATGATAAGCATTATTGCACTAATAAATTCTGAACTCATGAAGGTGAAAGCGAAGCCAGCGGCTTGGGTGAAACAACTAGCGACTCGGACGAGGCGGCCATGGCCATCATCATGAGCCTCCTGGAGGCCGACGCCGGACTTGGAGGCCCTGTGGACTTCAGCCATTTGCCGTGGCCTCTGCCTTAAGGCACTGCACCCTGCCTTGAGGCATGATGAAATTATGATGCATCATAATTAATGCCTTATGGCATGATGCATTATAATTAATTGTATTCTGCCGTGAGGCACTGCACCCTGCCTCGAGGCATTGCACTCTGCCTTAAGGCACTGCACTCTGCCTCGAGGCACTGCACCCTGCCTCGAGGCACTGCACCCTGCCTCGAAGCATTGCACTCTGCCTTAAGCTGCACTCTGCCTTGAGGCACTGCACCCTGCCTCGAGGCACTGCACCCTGCCTCGAGGCACTGCACCCTCCCTTGAGGCACTGCACTCTGCCTTGAGGCACTGCACCCTGCCTTGAGGCACTGCACTCTGCCTTGAGGCACTGCCTTGAGGCACTGCACCCTGCCTTGAGGCCTAATGCTTGGTCTCCAAGCCTTGGTTCCTACTTGAGACAATTTATATTTCCTATAAATTCGATTGTGGGGATGAATCAAGGCATAATATTGTATCACATTTCTCATCGCTGAGAAGATGAAAAAATTTGCATTCCATGACAATCAGACCCCATTGAGGAAAGTTGATGTTTAGATATATCAATTATTTTACTTGGGAAAGCTGTGGCGTAGAATTCTGCATCTCGAAATAAAATGAGACGAGGAATATTTCTTAAAAATAATGAGACAAACCGACTAAATTATGCCCTTTTATATAATTTTGAATTGACGCAGGAATTATTTTTTTGTATTTTAAATTTGTATCTAGGACATGATGAATTGCTACGAACAGATAGATGTAAAACGAGGTGCACCGAAATGATACGAGGTATTTAATTGTGGAACGAGACAAAACGAGATATTCCATTCAGATACGAGACATTCCGAACGCGCTAATTTGATTTTATGATTTAAACCCTTGATTATTATCTCGGTACTAATACTTGAATATCAAAGTGTCTTGAATTCCTACCATCCGTCCTACGCAAGTCAAAAGCCGAAAACTCTAATCCATCTTAAATATTTCATTATAACTAAGATAGTTGAAAATTATATATTTTGGAATCCATTTCTATTTTTATAAGAAAGTAGTTTGTATACGAGCTTCCTTTTTCAAGATTCGTAAGGGAACAACCTTCTCATTTGGAGGGCGATGTCCTAAGACATGATAGCATAAGACTAAGTACGTGTAATCGGTCCTACAATAATTATGTTTACTCTAGCGTGCGACGATATACTTCTGTAAGCTCAGACACAAATAGGATGCATCGAAAATATTGATCAAGCATAATGTCTTCATTCCGTTACGAGCAGACTAGTCAATTTACGCAATGTTGACAAACCTGAATAGTACTTCAAAATTCCAGGCAATGCTTTTGTGCAGATTTCATGCCAAGTTCATTTATGGGTTACATGTTACTTGCTGATAAGGCTTCTATGGCGTCAGATGGCGCGCCGTATTGTAGTGTTCAAATGAGACAAGACTTGCAACATGGTAGTAAATATATGTGAAGGTATAGTCTACCGAATATACCGCTGCAATAATGTCCCTAAAATATTATTGTGTAATTCATGCCGTTTTGCAGCAAGCTGTTCGTAATCTGTGACTAAACAAACGGGACCAACTTTATCCCTCTCCTACAACCAAGTCCAGCCTTGTCCCTCACCTACAACCAAGTCCAGCCTTGTCCTCTCCTACAACCAAGTCCAGCCTTGTCCCTCTCCTACAACCGAGTCCAGCCTTGTCCCCCCTACAACCAAGTCCAACCTTGTCCTCTCCTACAACCAAGTCCAGCCTTGTCCCCCCTACAACCAAGTCCCACACTGTCCATCTTCTGAACAAAGTCTAAGATAATATTGCCGGAAGGCGGGCAGCTTAATTTAAGGTTTTCAGTAGCAATATACTTTGATGAATGTGCCAAATGTAGCTTCAGTGATAACCTGACGTAGAATAGTTACTTATGTTGAGTGAGATATTATGAAATACATTTATTTATTTGCTTTCTTATGTTAGAAAATTACTAATTACGATATCTTAGAAAATGTTTCTTTACTTATATCTTATGCCTGGGAAAGATGCAGTTTACTTTTAGCATAATCGAAGAACGGCATTGAAATTTTTCAGTCTGTCATAATTTGAAATGACGAAAGTGCTTGAGGGCCGACGCAAAAATTCATTTGAAAAATCCGTTTAATCTTTTTCCCTAAGTCACAAATAGCAAGGTGCCTTGAATCTCTTATTCCATAATTCTGATATTTTTTTAATAATTCTGAATAATTCCATAATTCTGATAATCTGAAACTGTATATGAACCGAAATTTTATCAAATTTCTGGGCAAGTTTAAAATTTTTATATGGTGTTGTTATTGATCTCGGAATTATCAGTAAACATTTTCGATTCACTGTTTAATCAGCGTGAGCGTATGCATAACTGATCTCCATGCTCTAAGCGCTTGAGATCAGTGGTTATATGAGCAGTGATATCATATAACCTTGCATGATTTATTTTATTGTAACATTCCATGACCGTCCAACGAGTTTTTTTTATGCTAAAGCTTGTATGTCCTTTAAGTCGATATTTATCGTAGTATTTTAACTAGTTTTTTCGGTGTTTTTCATTGATAAGATCTTTTTTTACTTTAGATCTCGTTGTGCTTGCCAATATCGTGTGAGGATGCCAGTATATATATATATGGGTTTTGCCAGTATATACTGCAAACGCGGGGAATGGGATACACAATGTTTTAAACAATGGAATACATAGCAAGCTGAAAACTGTATATTTAATGGGTTATTTTTTTGACTGTTTAATGAATCTTAGTCTTACTAATGGTCTGATATTCCATCAAAAATATCACTAAGAACACTTTTTGCTAAGCATATACCTGACAATCACAATTACTTATCCTTATTGGTAGTAAAGTTGTGTGGTGCGATCGTTTTCACTATGATTGCTTGTAATCTGTCAATCTAACCTATTCTAGAGCTTATTCATCAACGTTTTCTGTCTTATTTTAATCGAGTCGTGATGTATTTTACGATTTTTACGGTCGTCGTACAGTAATTTTAAATGTAATTGAAATTGTCGTAAAATTTTAACAATTTTACGCAAGTATTTAAGTCAACTCATTTAAATTAATATAATTTGTGCAATATTGCTTATCATGCTACGATTGAGGCTAAATATTTTGTGCAATGGTAAATGAATGCCGTGGTTTGGAACTGGATCTGTCCAAGAAATAAAAGACATTAGTGTCATAAGGTGTTAAAATTAAGCTTTAATTTGTTGTTTCGGTTGCATGGCGAACCGAGTAGATATAGGTATGTATTTAATGGATGTATTCAAATTATCTTACACAATTTCCCTTTCTTGGCTACCTCTTGCTAAAATTAGAATGTAATAACTCACTGCTGTCATTCATATTTCACCTTCAGGAGTTCTCTGCGTGCGGTATCGAGTTTTTCACGAATTATCTCTCTCGATCTGAATAAAATCCATGCTTCATCTCTCTCACCCAAAAAGCACCTAAATGACTTTGCGGCACGCGTCGTTACTCTGTATATTTGTTTTCATTCTTCTTGCTGACAATCCTGTTCCCTGACATTATAACAGAAATTTCATCATTGGACATATCATTAAAGCAATTCGTCTCAATAACATTCGTCCTGTTAGCCTAACCTAACATGCTTCAACATGTTACTAGAATTGCGCAGTGTGCTAATTAATTAACACCTACATGTACTTATGTTGGCAAAATGCAATGATGAAATGAAATGTCTCGTATGAGATGTCTGGTCACCCTGACAATCAAGGTGCGGTTCTTGCCCCTACACTAGGTTTGCGTAATATTTTATCCTTACGCAGTTTATTAAATTGTGGCATTTTTCGTTTTCATCAGTGTTCTCATTGGAGTTACAACAAGCGTAAATTTATCTGATCATTTCTACTTCTGCATTTCCTATTTTGAAGGTACATTTTTAGTTGCCATATATCATATTTTTGAAACTGTAATAAATGTGAATCGGTATATCTTATTGTGTGATTCAAGTGCTGCTGATGGCATGTACAAAAATAGTTACATGTATCACCCTAATTAATCGTGATAGTGAAACGACATTCGCTTGCTAGGTGGTGCAGGATAGTTGCAGCAGTTTACGACAATTGACAGGATAAATCCGTCTCTAAGCGCGATTGCTGGTGGATGCATTGAGGCGCCCATAAGGAAGAGAGGCGTTATAGGATGAAATAATGAACGAAATTTCCATTACATTTGTAGTTTATGGACCTTACAATCACTTGTGTTGTATCTGTATATACAGAGCCTCTAATATGAATCCCGCAGTCCTGACAGCAACAACAATTAAAACAACGCAAGGGAGGAATTCAGTTTTGTCGATCATTCGGAATAACGAGGCAACCGAAGAGCTGTATTATGAGCTGGAAAAACAATGCCTGCCTCATGCGTTAACTTAAATATGATTTTACCCCTCTAGATCATAAAAGAATCTTGGAATTGTACATAAATAAGGATGTACTACTCAGTTGCAGAACGTCTACTTCTTCCATTGGTTCTTCTCGTAGTCATATTTGGATGCTAGACCGTCAATGGGGTCGACCTGCAACTCGATCATGTTGCGAAGTTGGATGGCTTGATTCTCAGGAGTAAAGCTCGCTGGCAACGGCGGCAGAACTGTAAAATAACGATGGTAAGTGGCTCATGTAGCGTTAAAATGTTCCTCTAGCAACAATAACACAATTTGGATATTGAAAGTCGAAACAGGACCCAGCCACTTATAAGCATTTGTGTCTAGCTGTTTTCTTTACTCAGGACGAGTCGGTCCTACAAACTTGTTTCGATTAGCGGGTAAATCGAGACTATTCTCAAATTTCCGTATAAATACCGGACTACACTGGGACGAGACACAGTCCCTGAAAAAAAAAATTGAACTTCGCAATTTCCCAAAATTAATCAAATTTTGACGGGACATGACGATGAATAATAACATAGACCAGGTTATCTTGATTATAAATGTATAAAAAAATCATTTATTTAATCAAATATCATTTATTTGATATCACCTATTGACCTGTCAAATATTTTATCAAGTAAGTGATATCGCTACTGTTTACATACGCGCCGTAAATGTCCGCAAATTTCAGATAATCAAACGAACAACTTTGAGTCGGAGATAGCCAGTCTCACAAGCGGCCTACTAAGACACGGCATGTCCGATCATTGTCACAATTTATAACATTACGAGTGACAATTTCTATCATTATTTTTTTTAAATCGACAAATATTTTGACTCGTTATAACTTTTCCTGTAGTGAGAACGATTCTGAAACACAGACGTTTAGTAGGAATTTATGAGATGCACCGCAAGTAGAGTAGAATAGAAAGAAATTTCGGTCAAATCAAGTTCTCATGTCAAAGAAACCTGACAGAGATTACTAAGAAACAAAATTTGAGTTTAATCAGCCAGCGAAAATTTTAACCTATTAGAAATAGACATACCCATCTCCATCATCTCTCGGCTAAATAAAGGCCTTAAGGTGGCTTAACGCAAGATCCCTAATAATAATTACTGAATATTTTTCACTGGCTTCAGCAACCTTATTTGGGAAATTAAAATGCATATCAGGATGCTAATAATGGACAACTCAAATGAAGTGTTTATACTGAAAATTGAAGGGATGATATAATGACCATCGCATCCAAGTAATTATTCAGCAAATTAACTCGCGGTCATTGTCAGACGTAAGTCAACTTTTGGTATGAAAACATCAAGTGTGAAAATTTCAAGGTAATTCATTCAAATTCGATGAACGACTAACGAGCACCATAATGATGTAAAATCAGTACTCTAAAAATATAGAGGGACACATTCAATTGCCATAAGATCGTCTTTATACCAGAAATTCCTTCATGGCATGTTCATTTTGTATACATGAATATTTGGAATAAGCAAAAAATTTAAACTAATTCTTGGTATATCTGCCAGTAACTATAAGATACGAATGCAACGAATAATACGGTAGCAAAATGGCAAGATGAATTCAAGTTAAACAATACATAGGTAGAGTTGACCTAATGCTTCAAGGTTCGAGTCACTCTGAAGTTGTAGGATATTTTATGATATTCCGTGAAGTAATCAGCGGCTTGTATCGGTTGTTGTAGGTCAGTTGAGCTATGTAGGGACAACAAAATGCGCGTCGGTAATCGGTCAATTGTAGTCAGTTATTCCAGCAGTGTATATATACGCCAGTCGAAATGCCAACACTATCCTTTTAACGTTCCAAATCTATATTGACTCTACAACATCCCAACAGTATGAGTTCGCACTCAACACTTCATTATTATGAGTCTGCATTTAATACTCTACATGAGCTTGTACTCAATACCTCATCAAAAGTAGGAGAATCTTGCCAAGTGTCCATGAAAATTTCCTATTCTCGAGTTGCAAATTGTGTGTCGTCACAGATAAAGTAAAAGAAAGACCCAAAGTTTGTTGTGGGTGCACAGAACAAAATGGCTGATTAACTCAACTATGCATAAAATTAAATATTTTTCAAAGTCATTGAAATGTCACTGTATACATTAGGTTCTTTATCTTAATTACTACTTTTCCTTTCCAAACTTATTAGCAAATATTGTTCTAATTGAGTGGAACACCACGCCTCAATTTTTACACCAGGCATTTTTCCCTTCTGTAAACACTACTTTATACTGTAGGTAACGATTCTAAAATCAATTGATAAAAAGGAGCAATTAAAATGATTATCTGTGATGTCGGTAGGAGAGGTAAAGATCATCATTCCGCTCAGTATGTCTTTGAAACCAAAATATGAAGTTCCTCAGACACACTAGGCAACTTAAAAAAATTTTCAAACGAACTAGGTATACTTAATTAATGCTATTTAAATAGATTACTGCCAAAATCAAGCAGTGAAGTAATAGAATGCAGCAGTTAATCATTTTACATTCCTAAATAATTTGATGTTGGAATGTAAGAATTGACCCCGATATACAAAGCTATTATTTTACTTTGCATTGACTAAGAAACTTTGTGTTGTTTTTTCTATTTATATAAAATCGGTTTCATAAAAAAACATGCTTTCACTCAATTTTTCCTCATTCAAGAATGGGATAGTATTTCTCCAATCTCATCCGGTCGGTATGATTGCTTAGTTTGGAAGTTATAATGAGTCTCATCTCATATTGAATGCACTGTGTCCATTAATAAGATTCTAGGAATAAAACTGACATATAAAGGGTCCGCCATATTTATGGCAACGGATGTTTGCTAAATAAAAATAAATTGGTTTCTAGGAGACTTTTCTTTTATAATGAAGCTTAATATCATCTATTGATTCATCTATTTTATATTGCAGAAGTCTAAGGTGTCTAAATTTACTACCTATTACTTACGGCATTAGATAGATATGCAATTGTAACCCTTAATGAAAAGGGCAAGAGTAATTCAGTCATTGCAAAAAAGCTCCAAATTCGTAGTGAAACTGTGTGGAAGGTGGTAAAAAAAATCCAAGGAAACTGGTGAAACATGCAATCGACCTGGTCGAGGAAAGAAACTAAGTGTCCAAACAAAACAATTGGTCAAACACACGAGGGAGAAGTCGAGGAGAAACCCTCGTCGCTCAGCTGCAAAATAGGCTGCAGAAGCAGGAGTTAGTCAGACATCAATGTGTAGAGTGCTCAAAGATGATTTCAAAACTTCCCCTTACAAGATGCAAACAAGGCATGAACTAACAGACCATCATGAACTAATGAGGCTCAAAAGATGCCAGCACATTATGGATCTCATTGAGGATGGCACGCGGCCCAACTTGGTGTTTAGTGACGAAAAAAAATTTGACATTGAACGAAGCGTTAACCATCAAAATGACAGAATTTGGAGTAGGGATGGATCGGTGGCAACCACAACAGCAACACGACATCAAAATCCCATGTCCGTGATGGTTTTGGCTGCGGTAACCGCAGACTGGGAGGTCCCCGCTCGTTTTTGTCCCCTTAGGAGTGAAATTGAACAGTCAGCAATAGGTACATTTCAGACATTTTGGGAGCTGTGTTGTTACCTTGGGCCCATAAACACTTCAACAGCTCACCATGGAGTTTTCAAGAAGACTCTGCCTGATCACATGGCTCAAACATGACCCAAAACAGGATTCAGGGTCACATCCCAGCGTTCATTAGCAAAAATGAATGGCCCTCAAGAAGCCCTGATTTGAATTCTCTTGACTTTTCTGTGTGGGCTATTTTAGAGAGTAGGGTCTGCAGAACACCTCATGATTCTTTGGATAGTTTGAAGTCTAAATTGACACGAGAATGGGACTTGATCCCTCAAGAAATGCTGTGCGTCTCCTGTGAAGCTTTCCCGCGTAGATTGGAGGCCGTCATTAAAAAATAAGGGTGGTCATATTGAATAAATACGTCTGAGAATTGTTTAGGTAATTCTTGGCTACTAGCTCATCCACTAAAAAAACAATGCACCAGTTTGTTTCATTGAGAAATAACAAAAAACATGCGTTGCCATAAATATGGCAGACCCTGTATTTTCAACATACGTAAGAGGCACAGTTTATGTTTGTTTCATTATGATTATCGTAAGTTGCTTCAACTATCATTAAAAATACTTAAGACACTCGAGCTTTGATCTCAGAACAGAAACTAGCTTCAATAGTAGCGAGGGATTGGGTGGTGAAAAATAATGACCGGCATCAAAGCTTCTCTATCCCTTTCTATCACAAATGCATTTTAATCAACTGATAATTTATTTCTATCAGTTATGTGCATAACCATTAGCATGATAATACTCTCCAAAAAATTAGCTATTAATTTAAACTAACCAGGATTTCATTGTTGGCTTCTCTAAATCGCACAGCTGGCATTGGGAAATCAGGGCGGTCCATGTAGTTGAAGCCACCATTGTGTCCATAACCAACCACTTCACGCTTGCCAATCTTGTAATAAGGGTCGAGATGAGCAACTGATGAGCCAGCACGCACACTCTGGCAGCGTACAGCTGACTGCAACAGCTGCTGGCAAAACACGCGTTCCAAGCGCCTCAAAGCCATCTGAAAACCAAAAGATACATCATGACTGGTTAACATAATACTTAAGCTAAACTTCATCATTACAAACAAAGAGCATGGAATTTTTTTTTTTTTTAAAAACAAAGAGCATGGAATTTTTTTTTTTTTTAATCCATTAAATGAAAGAAAAATAAAATCAAACGAGAGACGTCCAAACAATTCTATAGCAAATCTGAGGTACTATATAATTGAAACAGTTTGAACACTTATGATCCTTTTCATTAATAGTCGGTCACCTGGCAGAGCACTGTATCTAAGAAAGCTTTCCACCATGTGTGGAAAGCTTTTTTATAAGTGAACTTCAATTTTTAGAATTCCACCCTGTACATGGGAGTTGTGGATAAAATGGATTGGCTCATCAATAAATACAGGATCAAAGTTTGTGGAAAGAAATAGCATTTTCCATTTTTCACAAACATTGTTGACCTGACAGTCATAAATGCACACATTATGTTTTGCATGGCAAACAGACAAATGCCCTTGCTGGAATTCAAGAGGAGAATAGTAAGTGTAGGTATATATGCAAGTACTGGTATCATCTTTGTCAGATCCTAAGAAATCAGGTTGCCCATTATTCAGTAAGCAGCTTATCAAAGCAGCGAGTTATACAAACAAACAGTTTATCACTATTTGGTAGAGCAAGGTCTACTATCAACTTTGACACATTTTTTGATAATCTCACTAGGTGACATGCACTGTCTCTCTTTGGATCTTAACATTTTCCCACCAGGCAGCCCAGACCTAGTGTTTAGGCAATAGTATGGCGCCCAATAGTATGACGTTGTTGGCGGGGGTGGTTTAGGCTACTTGCAGCACACCCTCTTGTCCCTCTTAGATGTGTCCTCTTTTTCCCCTCTTATGTGTGTTACTGTGTGTTTATATTGAAGTGTTTAACTATTTTATTAATTCAAATAAAATCATTCTCATTCTTTTCAGGTCAGGTTCAAATCAGTAAATGATTATCTAAATTTATGTCAAACTATTCTAAAGTGTGGTGCTGGATAAATTGCTGTCCCACGCTCCCTAGCCCCTAACCTCTCAAGTGATTTGCTGGAAAGCTCTCCCTAGTCCCTAACCTCTCAAGTGATTTGCTGGAAAGCTCTCCCTAGTCCCTAACCTCTCAAGTGATTTGCTGGAAAGCTCTCCCTAGTCCCTAACCTCTTGAGTGATTGGCTTTAAGGCACCCTATGAACCTCCTAACTGACTTGTATTGGAAGCAGTTATTGGTGCGCATCTTACTCATTGGTCCATGTGCATTTTTACTTGGCGTCAACTATAGTTTAGCTTCAGTTAGTCATCTTTACCCATTTTCTTTATTCTGTCATGTTTCTATCCCTTTTACTGTACGAGATTCCAATAGTTCTTAGAACCAGTATTTGCGTTTCATTTTCATTTTCAAACCTTTAGTCATCATACTAGTTTAACTCAATCTTTGTTACCAATTTAGTCAATTAAAGTACCGGTAGGCAATGAGTTCGTCTCACCCACGTTGAGACACCGGTAACAACGTCACTATTTCAACCATCAATGAATCCTTTGTTACCAATTTAGTCAATTAAAGTAGGCGACAAGTTCATCTCACCCGCATTGAGACACTGGTAACAACGTCACTATTTCAACCATCAATGAATGCGTGGAACTAAGACAAAGCTCAACATAAAGGAAAAAGTTGAGAAGCGTCAGAATCAGGGCTGGAAAAGTCCTATTTTTGTTAGAAATATCACGGCTCTAATATCGTATAATTTCAGTAGGTATGAAATCGTACGGCTCGAATGTCATAAATTTTTGTTTGATTGAAAAATTGTGGTTTGCGCTTCGCAAACGTGTCATTTCATAAAATTTTCAACTTGCACAATCCGCATTGCTTTACCGTTCCTGCCAAAATATCCTGCAGAAAAAACATTAACATCGTAATGTAAACAAATCAACTAAACGTTTTGTTGAAGATCGTGCATAGTTGCGGTCATGTCAAAGCAGTCAGACTGCATGAACACGTGCTCAACTTACAGTAAAGACAAATTTTATTGTTGCCGTTTAACTGTTTTAGGGTAAAATTAGAGATTTGGGGTAACACGTGCATGGACTTTGTACATAAATTCACGCCTTGTAAATGGCTTTCATGGCGAAGATATGGAATTCATGGCTCAGTGAAATGGAATCATGGCTCAAAGAAATGGAACTACAGCTGGCAAATCCATAAAACCACGGCTTGAAAAATTCAGTCGCGGCTCGCCAAGTAGATATATTCCATGCCTGGTCAGAATTACCCACGATGTCGGAATATACCGTGTTTACCCTAAATATGGCAACAGTTTGTGATGTTTCATCGTGGCTGGTGCGTAGTTTGGTTGTTTTGAGAAATTGAGAGTGACATAAAGCAATCAGCACTCAAGTTGCGCATATGGTGATCTTTTTATAGCCATTCATCTCTTGCTACGCCTTTAGTCCTCAATCATTTAATGCAGTGGCAAAGCAGATAGTTTTTTAGACTCTCCCTCAAGCCTCAAGTTCATTTTTGAGTCCTANGACCTTCTCTGTGTTGCCTGATTTGACCCTCGTACAATCATAGCTACCGCAACCGAAGCCAATTTCTGACGGCCTGCAAACCTGTTTCTAGTTGCCTGGAACATTTTTTTTTAAGGCCGAAGGCTTTTTTTATGTGAACCACAAATTTTAGAATTCTAGCCTGAGTACCAGTATATGAGGAAATTAAAAATGAACTGATTCTAAAAAATCTCTGGTTTGTCACTATGATTCAATGTGTCAGTCAGCCATAGTGACAAACCAGAGATATTTTAGAATCAGTTCATTTTTAATTTCCTCATTTTTTCAAGATTTAAACCACTTTCTTATGTAAGATAATCTGATAATGATGGTATCCATGATACTTTACTGGTCTACTTATAGGACTCAAAAATGAACTTGAGGCAGAGTCTAAAAAACTCTCTGCTTTGCCACTATGCAGTTGGAATATTGTGTGCATGTGTTTCCCTACTAAAAACTTTGTAATTGGCTCATAGGAAACCTAAATATGATAGTTTTTCCAAAAAAAATGGCAGAAATTGGTCTATTTTGGAAACATAGATTTAATAGGCCTAAAGGAAAAGATTTACATCTTTTACACTTTTACTTGTATAGTTGTATTACACTCCTATTTACATAAGAAATTTTTAATTTTTTTTTTCTCTTTTTCAACTGTATAATTTTCATTAAGATCACAGGAAAAATTTTTTTTTTGTGTACATACCTGACTGATGAAGTTGAAAATTGTATTAGGATTTAGGCATAGGCCTAGTACCTACCTAGCCTAGGTACTTCAAAAATCAAAATCAATGCTGACTATGGAATTGAACTTTGAAGTCTTTGAAGATAATGCTGAATGCTGATATCAATGATACTTTATTGACTTACTCATAGGATACAAAAATGAAGTCTTAAAAAGCTGCTCCCTCCAAATTAGTAGCGGAATATGATGATAATCTCAATTATATTAACTAGATTATCTAGATAGGCCTAGGTACCTACTGAATTATATATAATCATCAACATGAATTCATGATGAAACCGGGGATTGGCCCGATTGGGACCAGAAAGTCCAGATTTATAGTCCTCGTGATGTCATTTGCCATATTTTTACATGATACATACATTAAATAAGATCATACTGACATTACTTTGATGGATAGACAAAAAAATATTTCAAAAGTGAAAAATAAATACTTACAACGAGATGCTGTAACACTTGATGTTTGCCCAGCACGTAAGACTATAAGATCATACTGACATTACTTTGATGGATAGACAAAAAAATATTTCAAAAGTGAAAAATAAATACTTACAACGAGATGCTGTAACACTTGATGTGGGACCAGAAAGTCCAGATTTATAGTCCTCGTGATGTCATTTGCCATATTTTTACATGATACATACATTAAACAAGATCATACTGACATTACTTTGATGGATAGACAAAAAAAAAACATTTCAAAAGTGAAAAATAAATACTTACAACGAGATGCTGTAACACTTGATGTTTGCCCAGCACGTAAGACTACCGACGGCCGACAACTAAGCGTACCAACTGTTTATTTTTGTTCATCAGAAGTGCCAATATAAAAATTTGATAAAACTTAATTTACTGGTACTAAATAACTTACAAACTCATTTGAATTACACATATATTTCAGGCAGCATCAAGTAAAAGAAATTCGGAAAATTCTTCATAGGCAATATATTTAAGAAAATTCTAGCAAATGCATGCGAAGCGCATGTTATGCGCATGTGTTCAGCTAATACCTAGTACTGTACCATCCAAACCATCCTCAAGCATTAATTCTGAAGAAATCTGCATGAAAAATGAGTTACAACTAATTAATAACAATGCAATGGTAGAAATTAAAACACATTCATATTTTTCGTTTGTATTAAGCCGAACATGTGAATTTAAAGATATGTCGATTAAGATGTTTTAATACAAATCCCGAATAGTTAACATCGATATCAAGCAGCCAATAATCGACAATTTCATAGCTCTAATTGTTTATATGATAAATCTAAACGTCATTCTAATTACCTAATTGTCGTTTATCTGAACTGACCGGCAAATTCGCCAGCTGTTTATATTGAAATGCCAATGAATTGAACTCCCTCAATCATTACTGTATCTGCATGAAATTAAGAAAAATTATTTTTCGCAATAAACCGCGGCCGGAGTTATAACAGGTTCTTGTGTCGTTTTGGTTTCTGATTAAAACGCAAACGATAACTTTAGGCAGGGCTGCCCAGTGGTAACAAATCAGCGATCCAGTTTTGGAGCAGCGAGAAGTTCGATCCCAGCTTCCTATGAAAATTATGGTCAAAATCGGCGAGGTGGCGAGGCGGTTAATTACAGTGGAGCTGAACAGTGACTTGCGTATTCGAGAGCCTATTGCGTCTCGAATACTTGCGTATTCGAGAGTCTGCGGCATTCATTGGCAATTTTCCTAAGCAACTGACCATTGAACGGCTCTATATGATATCAATACATGAAAATTAATATGTTACGGCGGGATTATTAGGAATTTTTACTTAGTTTCGTTTTAGATTAAAACTTGAAAATGTAACTTTGGTTCCTTGATCAGCCCCTAAATTCTCAATTGAGTACATTTAAACAAAATTTCAATTTCTCAGAGCGGCCAGACACAATGGTTCGTTCAAAATACCAAAATTTTCATAAGATTGTCACTGCACGAACATTCTCAAATGTAATGAACAGTTTGCTGTGAGTTCTATTCTTCAAGGGTGGACCATTGGTTAAAGTTCAGAGTATCAAGATTGGGGCAGAGAGCTGCGGGTTCGATCCCAGCTCTGTGCACCAGTTTCTGGTCAGAATCGGCAAGGAGGCCGAGCGGTTAAGCAAAAGAAATTTTGAAGCAGTGAGTTGCGAGTTCAAGCTCGCGACATGCTGTGGATGTTCTGTAATGTTAAGAATCGGACACAGGCCTACGGCCTAATAAAAGCTGAAACCGCTATATTATAATATATTAGGTGTCTATAAACTACTTGGAAATGATAGGGATATCGGACAATCAATTTCCCGATACAATTTGGATATCGAAAAATCTTGCAGTGTTACGAAGGACTGGGTTGTAAATGTTAGCTTGCGTTTCAACATGCTTAGAAAATTTCAGCTCCTTGTCGACATAAACTCCGAGATCTTTTTCCACACTAGACTTTTCAATCATTACTCTCTCGTTGCAACCATGTCTTCTCATACTGTAATCTTGCTGTTCATTGTTCTATTTCTTAACAAGATACATGTCTCTAAAGAATTCTTGTTTCCACACATGAACTTCTTCACACAAGGACTTCAATGCGGTTATCATACAAGTTGGCGACCGGTTTTGCCAAGAAATGTCGTGTCTGCAAATAATGGCGCTTTCAATGATCATTCGCCAAAAGAGAACTGCACGGTCTCAATGCGAACTGTATATAAATACCGATTCTGGAAAACCTCAATCACTATAACAAACATCAAATATTTCATTAACAGTTCCCTGTTCTGCACCTTGGAAAATATTGATATTATCCATTTTCAATAAATCTACAGAAAAAAATTTAATCCTGTTCCTGAGTGTTACATTCCTTAGCAATTTCAAAGCAAAGATACAAAAATTTACTGGCAAACATCTGCAGCTCCGTGGCAGTAGAATAAATTAAACAATTAACCTAAGTTATAAGATAAGGGATAAGAATTCAAATTTTAGGTTGCACAGCAGTTATATTGAGACAGTTATGCATTCTCATCTCCAGACCACATACAATCGCAAGTAAAGAATAACTGAGCATGTATTACATTGTGGAAACATTCAAACATCGTAAATTTCATTAACAAAAATCAATACTAATGGAAAAAGAATGCAATAAGAATAATACAGGATGATTGGTATATATATTCTATTCATATATGATTATCGGTTATTTAATTTAAAAAAGTGCCAGCCAAATTTTGGTACTACTGCAAATTTTTTTGTTCTGTCTTGCCAATAAATTAGCTACTATTTGAATTACTACAAATATTTGAATACTATAACTAACAAATATTTGAATTCATGTAGGCAAGAAAGGTCAAGGGAAATTTGCCTTATTCCGATTCCTTCCATACACCCTCGGCGTCCCAACGTTTCACTCAAAGAAATGAGTGAGATTTTATCCAAACAGCGAGGTACTTCTGGCCCCATAGGGTTCGTTACCAGACCCAGTTTGACACGACAATTGGGCTTATCAGTTTAAGTCTGCTCTCGCCTCGCATTATGGGTAATAAAATGCGCGTCTTATTAGGACAATGTAGCTCACATATTTCTATAGGTGAATACTTACAACATTTAATTTTTGATTTGTCACAATAAATTTTGGCCAACATTTGTCACACTGAATGTTTGGGCACTTAACTTAATGCCATTGTTCTAATATGAAGCTAGCGTTTTGAAAAAAAACTAGTTCTTATTCCCATATTTTGGCACTTATATTTGTTTAGTAACGGTAAGTAATAGTCAAACTTTTCGGCAAGCATCAATAATGATAAGCGTGATTTCAGTGCCCTAAAGTACTTCTAATTGTAACAAGGATTTCAATTATAACACGTATTTTAATTTTAACATGGACTTCAATCACCTATGCAAACGAATAATACGAATTTTTAAATTAAATAGAATATTTTATGAGGTATCTTGTTAAATGAGTGATTTAATTACATTGTCTCTAAACTGACATCAGTGTTGCTTAATATAAAATAAAATCTTTTAGTTTATGAACGCCAGCGCCCAAATCCTTGTTACTGAATTTACAACTGATACATCACGGGTCTTAAGGGTGCGGTTGGGTTCATTTGGTTGCTACGTGAACTTACATCGAATACCAAGGGTCGATTACTGCTGAGATATTTCTAATTTAACAGTCAAAAATATGCATTGCAAATTTATAGTTAGTATGAATTTCTACACTGAAAATGTATATGTTTTCCATCAACTCAAAAAGTCAATAAATATACTCTAAATAATGAACAAAAAATAGGTACGTAACATTGGGTTTAGAATTACAGCAATCGTCATCACGAACATGGATTATATAATATACTCATCTACTAAGGGTTTTAATTAATTACGGTTACGGTTTTTTTGTCAGGTTACGACAAATACACAAATCTTGAAGTAAAATCAAAGACAAGCTTCGAATCATTAAAAGGTTTGGCAGCATGAACACTTGCCTCTATAATTGTCGTAGTTTTTGCTGCGTTTCACACGATTCAATTGAAACAGAGTTTCACTGGAAGTTTTTTAAATTATTCAGGGGCCAGAACGGCAGTAATTACAGAAAATTAGCTGCAAATATTTTCGTCGTGAGGCAGATTTAGAAAGTTTGATTGGGATTCCGGACTCGTGCGATTCGTATGCCCAGATTTGAAGGGAAAAAAGCCATAAATTTCTCAGTGAAAAGTTCAACGGTTGAATTGCACTGCATTGCTTCTGGGTATAGCGATATTTAAATGAGAATTCGTCTGCGCTCACATTTGATCTCATCAGTGGAATTAATTAGCCAATAAAATTTGTATCATAATTGAAGAATGTCCAATTGCATTAAAATTATATTAACGTCGTCAAAATTTTTTTATAATGGAGCTCACATTATAGCACTGCTCACTGAGTCGTATCAAATAGAGCACGTCAAGATATTTATTTTTTGTGAACAGCGAGCGAAGCTGCGTTATAGATCCATGATGACAACACAATTCGTGTAACCAGAACGGTAACTCCTATTAAAATAAAGAATATTGCTTCTATACTTTAGAAGCTCCTATCTATAATAAGCACATCATTGAAGTCACGTTTATCCAAACTGGTTTCGGAAGTTAAGAACAGTATATTTGAGATGACGTCTAGTTTACCTACTGAAATTGACTTCAAGATAAGGTGCTATAACATTGACTTCTAGTGTATTTACCTAAATTGACTTCTAGCGTACTACTGAAGTCAACTTCAAAACTATCTACTAAAATTGACTCCAAATATACCTGTTAACATTGATTTCTAGTGTTCTTAGTGAAATTGACTTATGGTTTGCCGACTAAAATTGACTTATAGTGCACCTACTAAAATTCATTTATTTTTTGGTCTCGACTTAACATAATTTTTATTGTTCCAACTAAAATTTACTTTTATTTTAGTGTGTTTACTGAAATAGATTTCTAATGTACCTGCAGATTTCTAGAGTATCGCTTTTCCACATCGCTATCTTCTAAAATGTTTTCATGCAACTGCGATTATTGCAATCGTTAAATTATTCGTATCGCGGACGTCATATTACAGATCAAACAAGAAGCAATCTTTAAATCGACAGTTCAACTTAAGATAAGTCGATAATGCAATAAATAAACTTCACTCAACCTCTGCGAAGTGATTAATAAATTAAAAGAATTCTTATGAAGGAAATGCATGCTCTTCTGACTATTATACGCATTTGATTTATAGAATCTTATTTATTTAGGATTTAATCAACTTATGTGAATGATGTCACAAAAAATCACCCAAGTCTATTGCCCCACAGTTCATTATATCGTTTCCATCGACATTCCTTGGAAAGAAATTACATTTGTTAAAACATCGCAATTGAAGCCGATGTCCCTACTCGCATTATGTATTTATTACTCAATTTATTCATTGAACCTTATATGTCAGACTTATTCTTGCTACAATGCACAATTTTTGGAAATATAATAATAATAAACTTCGTATTATAATTCAATATATCTCATGAACATTGGAGCTCCGAGCCATTCAGTCAACGAGCGAACTTTCAAGTCCCTAGTGCCGCGGAAAGTTGAGCGACTGCAAGCCTATGGATGCGTTCTCGTTTCCATTACAGTAACTGGGTAATTTTAATCCAAATACCCGCAAATTTATTGAGTTTAAGATATAATTCAAATTACGAGCACCAATAAGCATTTGTGTGTAGCGCGCGTGTCTTGGGATGCGTTACATGCAACACCAGCGGGCTTGTGTTGTGTCTAATCCAAGGGCAGGATGTGGTCGACATGAGGAGGTGTCATGGAGTCATCCGGCTTTATGAAATCTGTAAAATAAAGGTAATTAGATACGCATTGAGTAATTACTCAATGCGTCTTTAACTTGATTATGAATGTTGTACATTCGAAACGTCGTTCAATATTAAAAATGTCTATTGGTTATTTAATTTTCAATCTTCCAACACCTACGGAGAATTTAGTACGACTTATTGAAAAAACTAACAAGAAGCTAATAAATAAAACTAATTCTCTGGTCTTTAACAAAACTTGCTTAAGAGAAGAAATTCTGCCAGCCTACACTTAAAATTAATCAGAGAATTATTTATAGAATATAGGTATTCAGAGAGTTATTTTATAGAATAAAGGTAATCAGAGAATTATGTCCCCCAATACATTTACTTGGAATCTCTTATACCTATTTAACGATAATATACGAGTTCGCATCTTTACTGCCAAAGCTGTAATAAAAATGCCATGCTGGAGGCCAGAATATTATTGCTGAGTATTCATAACTTTTAATACCTAATTAACGTCCCTGATTATTTACGGGCATGTAACATATATTATCGATGATTTTCATGAAATGCGAGCTTCTAATAATATGGCTTTGATTGAAATCAAATCTATCTGAATTCAATGAGATAAATTTGTTGAATTTTCTACGTAGGTGCAAACACAAAATGAATGTATAAAATGTGAAAATTTTAAATCAATTATTATCATTTTGATGATTTTATTTATGTTGTTTATGGTAATTCACGTCAATTTCCAAACCATAACTTCACATTTGTTGCCAAGTTTATGTGGTTTTTCTTCAAGTCTCGCCTCTACACAGAATTTTATGAATCAAATATAGAGCTCTGCACACTCATCCACTCTCCCTGCCCGCCATGCCACTCATCTCAGCCTGCCTACCACTCACCCCTACCCGCCTGCCACTCGCCCCCACCCGCCTGACCTCGCTTGTTTGGACTGACATGCGTCGTTAAAACTTTTGTGCTCTTAGATTTCGGAAGCTATATAAATATTTAGTTATCTAAGATATAGTAGCATCAATTATATCCAACTACATTGTGAATGTAGGGCAGTTTTCAATTTTTTGTCGGAACAATATGTCGAAATATTCCAATTGGCATTAAAATTTACAAATTAGGATAGCCACGAGCTGTTAATTTTATGGATCTTGAGTGTCTCATCAATTGGTGTGAGAATGGTTACTTAGAATTCTGGAAATAATTTTATGCAAGGATAACTCCTGTAAACACGAGTAACATGCCACTCACTGCGGGTAACTCCTGTAAACATGAGTAACATGCCACTCACTGCGGGTAACTCCTGTAAACATGAGTAACATGCCACTCACTGCGGGTAACTCCTGTAAACATGAGTAACATGCCACTCACTGGTCGAGAGCGTTGCTGTGCAGCAGACGGGTGATGGCCAGCAGCGTAAGCTCAGGGTCGTCGTAGTCAAATCCAACACCGACATTTCTGTGCACAACAGCAGCGTCATGAGACTCCGTTATTATATTTATTTCATTTTATTATTTATTTGTTCACACAGGAGCAAACGTTACAATGAAATATATAAGAGACGTGAAATAAAAAAACAGGACTTCCAGATGAATGCTCATATAAGCTAAAAAATACTCGCAGGAAACACAATGGGTATTAGGTAACTATTAATTTATGTACATTATGTAACTTTTACATGATATTACGTGGCATATACACGTACAATATATTAGCCAACACTATCTACGGCATGAAGATATAATTTCAAATGTATTGTCAGGAGATGATACATAAACCAATTTTATGCAATAGAGCAACAAGAAATTTAGAACAACACATATATCACTTCTTATAATATTTTCTAGTAGCCGATTGTTTACACTATTTATTTACAAGCCTTATTACCGTTTAATTATTCATGAATTTTATAGCCACGAATGTGAATGAGGCAAAAATGGAGTTTGATGATCATGTTTATTTGATTTCATGAAATTTGAAATCAAAAATTCTGTCTAAAAAAATTTCATGCATTAACAGTTGATTGAAGGTCGTAACGTTCCAACCGCAATACATCGAAATTAAACTTGAAGAATTTTGACCAAATTCACAACTCAAAGAGAATTAAAGTCGAGACAAAAACATCATAAATAAATCACAGAACGAGGTCTTATTTAGCTTTGAAATTGATAAGTTGATACACAAACCTGCTGAGTGGAGAAGCGTGGGTAAAACTGAGGAGTATGGCCGAGAAGAGCGATGCCCAGAGAAGCAGCAGCGTTCGGCTCGCCATCTGTACAGGAGTTTAATAATCTTTAAGAATACAATATGTATGATAATCTAGGGATAATCGGCATGAATAAAATAATCTAGTAGAACACAATCTGGATGATCATAGAATAATCACAACGAATAAAATAATCATGAAGTCTTTGACAGCGTTGCTCAACAAGTTAGCTAGGAACTGGTTGAATGGTAACACAACTTTCTCATTAAATCATTCTCCTTTATTATTGTTTACGTAAACAAATGATACTATATAAATGAATTCAAATCATTTTCAGTTAGTTCTTAATTACATCGAAAATTTCACATACTGTGAATTTCACCGTAAATTTTACGAAAAATATAACTCAGTACCCACTGCAGTGAGTGACAGAGAGGGCATTTTCTTGTCGACGAAAACGTGAAGTCACGGACGGACGACTGACGGACGGACAGACAGACGGACAGTCGGACATGACGAGCACAATATAGCGCCTTTTTTCCATAAATGAGAAAATGCGCTAAAAATCAACTATAAAAAGTGGACTTCATGAATGATCGAGTTGATTCCTATGAAAGAATATGGATTATTTACTGATTATGAAAAATTGAATAATGTTACGATTTTTCAGGATCCAGGGCACATTTTAGCGACGCGACGATATTCTTCAGGTTCTAGCGGGAATGTTTCAGGCGCGCGTGTCATCTTATTTCACTCAATTTTTTTTTCAAATAATTATTCAGTGTATGCATTTCATTTATATAAATAAATCACCGGCGAACGTCATCGAGCAATCGGTCATTATTTCGTGTTTCCAAAGACTTTGTTTCTTCGTAAAACTATAAAATTTTAACTTTTAGTTACTTAAGACCTTATTCGATGCCCTCAACGGTTTGAAAATTTTTGTATAATGTGATTTTCAATTCAATTTAGAATTTAGCATTGAATTTTCGAATGGTAAGCACTGATGTTTGATTATATATATAAATATAAATTTCTAGGTTTCATTGGAGACAACAGAGTATTTCTAATAGACAATTTTTTTATCGTTTTTCTTTATTCTGCGAATTAGGCTTTTGATGGGACTTGAAAAATAAAATATCAGTTTTCCAAGGGACATTTTATGATAATTTATGACGTTTCCAATGCAACTACATTCATTATCAAGTAGGGGAAGAGTTATGCTACAATTCTGGAGAAGTTTACACAATTTCCTTTTTGGCATGAATATATGTAAATAAAATTGGTTTCTTGTAAAGGTCCCGATATGACGGATTTATATTATCGGCGTGATAGTTCTCGCAATATAGGAGAAATGATACGATTTCGAAATAAAATAATACTATTCAACTAATATTAAACCATAAAATGAAATAATCCTAATGTGTTTTTAACTTATGGCCCTTTTGGCAACGAGAAATCCATTGTCATGCGATTGAACTGTTTATGGGGACTAACTATATTCCAAGCTAAATTTTAAAATGAAGGAGCCATCTTCCCCTGGCCTTCTACTTCTGTCAAAATGGGATGCTGACTTAAGAAACACACTTGAAATAAACTTAATTGATGCTACGCATCAAGTCTTAAACAGTACGCAAAAATTACAAATAATTAAAGTATAAATGACGCACAAATCATAATCAATACATATATGTGATATTTAGTAATATAAATTTATTATTGGATTTAAAAATAAAAAATAAGAAACATAAGAAGAAAAAAATGAATCCTAAACTAAGAACAGACTGGAATGAAGTAACATATACAGCCGCCACACACACATAACCTATATAGCATTCGTCGGTCAAAGGAGGCCGGCGCATGAGCTCAACGAACCTCAAACGCCGATCTAATTGTGACATATATTTTACTGATCCACTACGTGATAAATAAAGGACATTTATAGAAGTACTTTCTCAAACATCAGTGCTTAACTTTAGAAAATTAAACGCTAAATTTTAAATTTAATATAAAATCATTTATAATATAAAGACGTTGAGCGCATCGAATAAGATCCTAAGTAACTAAAAGCTCGAATCATAATGTGTTATAAAGATTCAGAATATTTCAAAACACGGAATAATGACCGACAGCTCGATGACGTTCACCGTCGTAAATGATACAGAGATAAATCGAAGAGAAATGGAGAGCTCGGACTGCCGAAGCATAGGACAGGATATTGAGATAAATCGAAGAGAAATGGAGAGCTCGGACTGACGAAGTAAAGGACAGGATATTGAGCCGCAGCTGCACGCGTTGCTACCAATAATCTCTCGGATCATTTCGTCCATCTGACATCCTCGATTCGTCGTTGCAGGAGGTAACTCCTGTAAACATGAGTAACATGCCACTCACTGCAGGTAACTCCTGTAAACATGAGTAACATGCCACTCACTACGTGTAACTCCTGTAAACATGAGCAACATGCCACTCACTGCGGGTAACTCCTTTAAACACGAGTAACATGCCACTCACTGGGGGTAACTCCTTTAAACACGAGTAACATGCCACTCACTGTACGTAACTCCTGTAAACATGAGTAACATGCCACTCACTGGGGGTAACTCCTGTAAACATGAGTAACATGCCACTCACTGAAAGAGCGATGCCCAGAGAAGCAGCAGCGTTCGGCTCGCCATCTGTACAGGAGTTTAATAATCTTTACGAATGCAATGAGTATGATAATCTAGGGAGAATCAACAAGAATAAAATGATCGTGTAGAACAAAATAATTGTGATGATCATAAAATAATCAGCGAGAAAAAAAGTATCATGTAGAACATAATAATCAATAGGAACATATAATAATCAACACGATTAAAATAATCATGAATTCTGTGACAGGGTTGCTCAACTAAAGCTAAGTTATAGGCTGAATAGGTAATACAAATTTTGTCAGTCATTCATTCTCCTTCATTATTGTTTATGTGGACAAATATACCTCTAATGGTATTCAAACTATGGACCATCTATTTTCAGATGGACCGTAAGGAAATTGAAAATTTCACAAACTGTGAATTTCACCGTAAATTTGACGAAAAAATCAACTTTAAAAAAGTGGACTTTACGAATGAGCGAGTTGATTTATATGGTAGAATATAGATTGTTTACTGATTATTAATACTTTATTGATGTTAAGATTTTTCATGATCCAGGGCACATTTGCGCGAGTGATATACCTCAGGTTGTTTAGCGGGAATGTTTCAGGCGCGTCATCTTATTTCACTCAATTCTTTCTTGAAACATTTATTCATTGCGTGCATTTAATTTATAAAAATAAATCACCGGTAAAAGTCATCGAGCCTACGGTCATTCTTCCGTGTTTTAAAAGACTTTAAATCTTTAAACAACAATAAGATTCTAGCGTTTAGTTAGGATCTTATTCGATGCCCTCAACGACTTGAAAAATTTCGCATAATGTGACTTTCAATTCAATTTAGAATTCAGCGTTGCATTTTCGAAAGTTAATCACTGATGTTTGATGATGTATACATTTACATATATGTTTCATTGGAGACAAGAGAGTGTTTCTAATTGACAATTTTCTTATTTTTCCTTACACGGTGAACAAGGCTTTTGATGGAACTTGAAAAGTCAAATATCATGTTTGCAAAGGATATTAATATAATTTACGACGTTTTGAAAGCAACTACAATTATTATCAAGTAGGGGAAGAGTTAGTTAACAATCGAATTTAAAATTACGTTAGTACAAACATAGGGTATTATGTATTAAGATTGAAAATCAAAGCTTGAATTATGAGAACAGTTTGAACGTCTTAACAACTCCGGTATTTTGTAAATGAATAGCTGGAGACTAATGCACCACAAGACCTCAGCTATCGCCTGTCTTGTGGCGTCTGGGCATCTCATGACGTTGCTGGTGTAGGTCTCGAACGTCGCGCGAGTGAGGGTCTCAGTATGAGCCTCTCTCGTCATGTGGTTCTGGAGGTCTGAGCTCGGGCCATACTATCAAAAATCGCTAAGTTAACGTAGGGATTTTTCTTGGACATTTTCATAGTCTAATCATAGACATTTTCTTGTCTAAGATTGGTGGATTTTGCTTGAAAGGCCGTCAATGATTGGCCAATGAACTTACGATCTCTTTACTTTTATTGAAAGTATGGCAGGTGGCATGTTAGGTCAAAGTACGTGCTGGTCAAACCGATGTAATTTACATTCTGGAGAAGTCTGCAACCCTCTTTGTGGAATGAATATTTGTAAATAACATTAGTTTCTTATTAAGGACCGGACTTACAAACTCTTAACATTTTGAAGATGGCTCCATTGTGCGGATTATACTCTTCAATTCAAAGACAAAAATATCGATGTGATAGTTCTTGCAATATAGGGGAAATGATACGACATCGAAATAAATAATTCTATTCAACTTATATTAAATCATAAAATGAAATAATCCTAATGTATTTTTACATATGGCCCTTTTGGCTATGACGAGAAATCCATAGTCATACAATTGAACTGTTTCTGCGGACTAATTATCTCTCAAGCTAAATAATTATAAATATTAATTATATATTAAAATAAAGGAACCATATCTTCCCCTGGCCTTCTTCTTCTGTCGCAATGTGATGCTGACTCAAGAAACACACTTGAAATAGACTTAATTGATGCTGCGCATTAAGTCTTAAACAGTGCGCAAAAATTGCAAGTAATTAATGAATAAATTACTCACAAATAATAATCAATACATTAATGGGATATCTGTTAATATAAATTTATTAATAGATTTTAAAAAAGTAAAAAATACAACATATAACAATTCAATTTTCAAATAAGAACAAACTAAACTGAAGTAACATATACAGTCACTACACACACAATTAACCTATAGCATTCGTCGGTCAAATAAGGCCTGCGTACCTCAAACGCCGATCGAATTGCGACATATTTTTTAATGATCCACTTTGTGATAAATAATGAATATTTATAGAAGTACGTTCCCAAACAGCAGTGCCTAACTTATGAAAATTCAACGCAAAATTCTAAATTGAATTGAAA